TAATTATTTATTCTTGTTAAGTAATGGTGACTTTAGAAAACAGTCTGATCAAGGAACTGCTTTCACCAGGCTCAGATGCTTTCACTCATAATCTCAGTGCTTGGCCCATTGTCTCACAAGAAATTTTTTTCTCTGTTGATTGCCACAAGTAGGTCCTTTTTCCACCCAGATGTAGTACCTGCTCTCAAACTGATGCATGAACTTCATTTCAACTGCTACAAGAGCAGTTTCAAACTTAGAAATGTCAGTGTCTAGTGCAGGGCTTTGCTTTATAAACATTCCTTTGCTAATGAAATTGGAAAAGTTCAGAGGAAGAATTTTCCATGAGTAATTCTTCATGTAAGCACTACTTAAAAGTCCCTTTTCTCAAATTCACTTTGACAGGTGCTGGGGAAATAATACTAATACTAATACTAATACTAATACTAATACTAATACTAATACTAATACTAATGCTAATGCTAATGCTAATATGAAATTTTAGCCTTATTACTATATCAACAGAGTGAACATCTGCATGTTTAGGCACTGGAATCCAAATTTCTGGGTCTTCATCCAACATGATGCTCTCTGCTACCTTATGGCTGGAGCAAACTCATGTAAGCATCAAGACCCAGGCTGGTGGTCAGCAACTGGAGACCACCACTTTCAGAGGACACTGAGGAAAGTCTGATGCTGTTAGCCAAAGGGAAACAACACTTTGTGGTGTCTGTGTGTTTCCCAAACCCTTCAAAAACCCTTTTTCTTTCCTTACTGGCATCCACCTGCTGCCTCTTAGAGACAGACTGCCATTTCAGGGAAAGGAGGCTGGAACTTCATGATGTGTTTCTACAGCACCCTGTGAAATGGTGATGGGATCTCTAGGGATTGCTGAAGTACAGATAATTGGTCTGACACTACTCCATGGAGGGGCTGTCAATCAGGAATGAGCTGCTCACATCCCCTGTCAGGCTCCCATCAGTCCATGGAGCTGTTCCCAGGTCTTCAGCAGCTAGAGCACAGGGGAGAGGAGACAGCCATGGCCAGGTGGGGCAGCCTGGACAGGCAAAAGATGCAGTTCCCTGGGGCAGGTTACTGCTGCAGGAGGACAGGAGGAAAATGAAAGACAGGAAGGAAAAGTTGATATGGCCCTGCAGACTGTGCACCTTTGAACATTTCAGGGTCAGGTGACAATCCAGATTGTAGTTCCTGCCTGCATCTCCCACATTTCCCAGAGCTTTTTCACCCCTACACATGTCCAGCTCTCCTGCCCTGCCTTTGTCACTCTCCTGAAATGAGAGACCTGAGACAAACACTCACCCATATTTAGAGAAGCTTATGGACAGATGAAACTGATCCTCTGATTTTAGACTCAGAGCCTGAAGCCTGAGGACATCCAGTGAGGCACCAGAGCTGTGGGTGCCTACAGATGTCTCTGCTGCCATGAGACAGAATTGCTGTGTAAAATCCATCATGAACCACAAAAACAGGCAATGTGTGAAGGGAAATAAAATGAGAAGCTAACAAAAGGCTGAGTGCACAGAGCACAAGAAAATGTGGGTGAAGGAGCCTGAGGAACAGCCCTGTGCACCACTGTCTCCATCAAAAAAACTGTGCTGATTGAACAAGCAATGTTCAAACTGGATAATGAAAAACCGTGAATCATGCAAAAAACCCAGTGCTCATTTCACTTCCCTGCAGTTGTAACACAAAGGCTTTCCAAGAGATAAATATTCCTATCATGATGAGTGATCTGAAAGTCTGCAGCCACATCCCTCCCTTGAAAAAGGAAGTGATGGAGTGCTGTTAGCACTGCCTTCTGCCCCTTTGATTTCAGCACTATAAATATTTCCCTTGTCACTGGTACTGGCCACAACAAGGACTGGCTGAAAAAAACACTCTCTGAAAATCAAAGGAGCGGAAATTATAAGGAGTAGGTTTGGGCCTTGCAGTGCACCCAGGACACATGGAGCTTTGAGGTCCAACTCCTAGGAAGAGTGGTCTGTTTAAAATCAAAACAGTGATGTTTTTATCACTCCTTAGTCTTGAGTTAGTGGAGATAAGAAGAGAAAAATAAATCTAGCTAGGCTTTGAGTGGACATTGTCTTGAGATGATGTATTCAAAGCCTTATTATAGAATCACAGAATGGTTTAGGATGGAAAGGACCTTAAAGCTCATCCTGTTCCACCCTCTACCATGGGCAGGGACACCTTCTACTATCCCAGGCTGCTCCAAGCCCCATCCATGAGTCCAGCCTGGCCTTGGACTCTTCCAGAGATGGGGCATCCAAAGTTTTTCACCAATTCTTCATGCAAGAAAGAGGACATGTGAGTGGGAAAATGAGCTTGCATCATTGATGTCTCTTTCTTATATAAAGACATAAAACCTATGGATTTTTAAAAATAGCTTATTTTCTATTTTTATTATGTCTAGTCTAAAGAATTGTCTGACAACAGACAGTCTACTAAAATGTAAGATAAGAAAAAGTATCTGCAAGGGGAACTTTTGTTAAGTGTTTATGTAACACCAGTGCTTAACATTTGCTCTTCAGAAAGCTTGTCTTAAAATTTAAATACTGGCACACTTGATTCACAAGGTCTTTACAAAACAGCTCAAAGATTATTCACTGAAAGTCTCAGCAAGGACAAGAAGTGAAATACTAGAATTGAAAATGTGAAAGCCTATTGTTGAGGTTCTGTTTGTCAAAAGGATGCACAACAAGAATTTAGAAAACTTGTAAGAGGAAGAAGGACAATTGCTGAAAAACCCTTGTAGGTTACCTCTATATACTGCTTCTTCTATGTCATGAATAATACAGAGGAGAGAAGCCAAGTTGCATCCCTTTCTATCTTATCCCTTTATAAGATAGAAAAGACTGTAAAGATTTCCATAAATAGCCATTTTCTGCATTAAAAGCTGCCTGTGGAGAATGTTTCTACCCTGGTTTCCAAAGAAAACAAGGACTTACATGATCCAACTTATGTGCGTATCATCTCATCTCTTCGTGTCCCTCTGACAACTTTTGAACCTGTTTCAACAAAATTTGTTGGAATTGTACATATTTCATGAAAATTTACTGCCTGGGGGAAGACAGAGACTTGATTAGTTGCACCAGACAGAATAAGAGAGGCTCCAGTTACCCCTTATCAAAATGTGGGGAATCTGTGTTGGGCGGAGATATTATTCATATCACAGATATATGAAAATCTTAAATTGGCACCCTAGTTTAACCAGAAAGTTCAAACCTGAGACACACATCCACAAAAAACATGGTTTTGTTAATTCTGCTGCTCATGGAACAGCTTGTTCCCATTTACATCTTTAGATGAAGATATTAGCAAAGATGACACTTCTTCCATTTAAACTGCAGTTTCCAAAAACCATCAGCTTTTGACAGCAAGAGGAAAATAAAATATTCTTTCAGAGACTTTTTAGACCGGTGACTCCTCTGGGCCAGCTATACAAACAAACTCCTTGTACAAGCATATGTCTGTTTCATTGTGCTGAAATATGAGTGGTGAGCATTTGGGCCAGCAAACCACAGCTCCTCTGAGAGCAGGCTGGGTGTGTTGTACACAAAGAAAGGCACCAAGGTGTTTGTGTTGACTCTGGGAGAACTTTAAGGCACAGCAGAAAGGAACTGCTTGCTGTTCACCACCTGGGAATGGAGCTACCAGACCATCACAGTGGTACCAGCAACTGGACACTTTAACCATGGGCCCTTGGTACTTCTCAAAGGTTTTTTGCACCTAGACCAGTTCTTGGTGTGTTGCCACATTCACCTTTTATTTACTGATCTCCCATAAAACCTTTGACACTGCCCCCCCACAACATCTTTTTCTCTAAACTGAGATGGATTTGATCTCAGATTTTGGGAGAACTATTAGATGGATTAGGAACTGTTAGGATGGTTTATTGACCCCACAGAGGGTTGTGGTCAATGGCTCAGGGTCCCAGTGGACATCAGGGACAGGTGGTGTCCCTCAGGGGTCCATATGGGCACCAGAGTCACTGAATATCTTCATTAATAACACAGACAGAGGCATCAGGGGCAGCCTCAGGGAATCTGCAGATGGCACCAAGCTGAGAGGTGCAGCTGACACACCTGGAGCATGGGATGACATCCAGAGGATGACATCCATCCTGGAGATGTGGAACCTCTGAGTTTTAACAAGGCCAAGTGTTGGAGCTGCAGCTGGGTCAGGGCAGCCCCTGGGATCAATCCAGGCTGGGGATGAGCAGAGGGAGCAGCCCTGGGAGAAGGACCTGGGGGTGCTGGGGGGGGAGAGCTGGACCTGCCCCAGCCCTGAACCCCCTGCCCTGGGCTGATCCCCCAGGGTGGGCAGCAGGGGAGGGGGGATTGTGCTCCTGTGCCCCTGTGCTCAGGTGAGACCCCACCTGCAGAGCTGCCCCAGCCCTGGGCAGCACCAGCACAAGGACGTGGAGCTGCTGGAGCCGGCCCAGAGGAGGCCACAGAGATGATCAGAGAGATGGAGCAGCTCTGCCGTGGGGAACAGCTGAGATTGTTCAAGCTGGGGAACAGGCAGCTTCCATGTGATTTCACTGAGCCTTCAGTGCCTGCAAGGAGCTGACAAAAAAGATGGAGAGAGACTATTTATAAAGGTCTGGAGTGACAGGATACAGGGAATTACTTCCCACTTCCAAGAGAGCAGGGTTAGATGGGATGTTAGGAAGAAAGTCTTGCCTTTGAGGGTGGGCAGGCCCTGGCACAGGATGCCCAGAGCAGCTGGGGCTGCCCCTGCATCCCTGCAGTGTCCAAGACCGGGCTGGACAGAGCTTGGAACAAAATGGGATAGTGAAAGGTATCCCTGCCCATGGCAGGGGTGGGACTGTGTGAGCTTTAAGATCCATCCAACACAGCACAACACAGCACAACACAACACAACACAACACAACACAACACAACACAACACAAAACATTCTGTGATGTTATTGTCCTGCTATCACTCCTGCTCTGTGGCTCTCCAGCATTTCAAGCTGTTGTGTCTCTTTGCTTTAGGAAGACGTGACGACTTGCCGTCCCCAGTAACCAACACACTGCAGGCTGAAGCAGACAGGCTCGACTCTGCAAGAGGACAAGTTCATCCCAGGTTTCCCTGGTGAGTTCAGACTCCCTGAGAGTGCGTGGGTACATCTGCCTTCCCGTAGAATCTCTCATCTGAGCACGCTGTTCACCTCTCTGCTAGGCCACTTGCTTTCATTCAGGCCAGAAACTCATTCCATTCACAGAGAAGGCCGTTTCTTCCCAGCTCTTTTCAAAGCACTTTCTGTGCTTCAAGGAAGCACAAACAACCATATCTCTTCACTGGGGGACACCTGGCAGACAACACACTGGGTGGTTGACCCTTGTTGTGTGTTTGCAGCACTGTGAGCGCATCCAGGCCATAGCAAGGCTCTCAGTCCACCGTGAAGTTCTGACACCCTCAAGGTTTGCTTTCAGGATGTTGTAAGGAGCAATTACTCCTCCAAATTACATCTTTAGGTCATTACAGGTTATATGGGAAATGGGGTGGTAAAAGAGCTATGCCATAACTGAGAAGTCACCATTTCTCACTACAACTGCTTCTCAGAGATGGGAGAGTTGTGTGCACATGTTGCCTGTAGTAGCACAGTTTCTGCTTGGGATTCTTTCTCCTTAGAATCACAGAATGGTTTGGGCAGAGACAACTTTCAGGGTGCTCAGCGTCCCGTCCAGCCTGGCCTTGGCCACTGCAGGGATGCAGGGGCAGCCCCAGCTGCTCTGGGCACCCTGTGCCAGGGCCTGCCCACCCTCCCAGCCAGCAATTCCTTGCCAATATCCCAGCTGGGCCTGCCCTCTGGCACTGGCAAGCCATTGCCTGGGTGCTGGCCCTGCAGGCCTTGTCCCCAGTCCCTGGGCAGCTCTCCTGGAGCCCCTTTAGGCCCTGCCAGGGGCTCTCAGCTCTCCCTGGAGCCTGAATACTTGTGCAGGGGAGCAGCCCCAGCTCTCCCAGGCTGCCTCCAGAGCACAGGGGCTCCAGCCCTGGCAGCAGCTGCGTGGCCTCCTCTGGGCCGGCTCCAGCAGCTCCACGTCCTTGTGCTGGTGTTGCCCAGGGCTGGGGCAGCTCTGCAGGTGGGGTCTCACCTCAGCACAGGGGCACAGGGGCACAATCCCCCCTCCCCTGCTGCCCACGCTGGGGGATCAGTCCAGGATACAGTTGTTTTCCTGGGCTCAAGTACACATTAAAGGATCATGTTGAACTTCTCTTGACATGGTTTAGTCTCTAAGAGGCTAAGCAGGGCAGGGGCATCGAGGTTATTGCCTTCAGCATGGACTCCATGAGGGTGTAACCCGCTGCCTTCAGGAGAAATTGCTTCACCTTTTTCAGTCAGTTCCTGAGGGACTCATGTGGCCCCACTCGGTGGGCCCTGGCAGTGAGAGATCCCAGCCTGTGACTGGTAAGGGTCACATCTGACTTGTGGATATTTTTTAGAAAAGGCCATGCCTAGGGATGAATATAAATAGTATAACACTGTAGCCCATCCCCTTCCCTCTCTATCACATGACAAACTCTCAACTCAGTAAGACTCAAGAAGATTCCATTTAAATTACAAACTGCAAATACTGGCTTTTTTTGACCTAGTTGTTATAAATTAACAATCGCATTAAAAATTTCTTACTTTTTGGAAATACATTTCATCTGCCTTTGCATGATGGCAGCCAAGAAAATTTTGTTCAGATTTTCCAAGGTGATTCACTTCCTGGCTTCTAACAAACCTGGTAAATGTCAGGTGCCAGAAATTTCTTCAACAAGATTTTTTGAGCTAGAATGAAAGTTCCATTCCAAATAGTAACTTTAATAATTATTCATGCTACTATTTTTCTATTTTTGGGTCTTCTTAAGAAGACCTCACAAGAAATAGGTTATTTGGTTGATATCTTCAGTACATTTGCAAACTCATGAGGGAAATATCAGATGCAATTTTGATTTTGAAGGTCATTCAGGGACATGAACTTCACAGTTGTGGATGTCCTGTTTTTTCCTATTCATTCCTTCCAACACTGCAGCACAGAGGCAACACTTGCAATGCTTTTAATGTTTTTTTAACCCTTCTTAAGTGCCCTTTCTGAAAGCAATTTGACCAAAGGCCCTTATTTTTGGATTATGCTAGCTATCTTCTTCCTGAAATGGATTTGCAAATTGGAATTCCCAACACGGAGGTGCATAAAAACCTCTTATGTCTTTTGTATCACAGATTGGTCTGAGAGGCAAAATCATTTAAGTGTGGCAATAAAGCAGAGACAACCAAAGCAGGTGAATTGTGCTCTGCAGGTGAATGCAGGTCACCTCACTCTAGAGAAAGGAGCAGCTTTGCCATTTCACTTCCCAGTAAGAGCTGCAGAGCTCTGTGGGCTCTCTTTACAGATTCCATTGCCATGTGCACTTGGCTTATTAATTAAAACATATTCTTTACTGTTTTCAATACATTAAATTGAATGTGTCTAATGAATATCCAGCTGCACTCTTCTTTCTTTATACATAACAATTTAGAATCATAAATTGCACTCATTTCAACCCAGGAACATTTTTCCCATTATATGGCTGCTGGTGATAATGTATCAGACAGCAATAATGATGCTTGATTTTCATAAGCTGCACTAAATGGTAAGTGCTCAGAGCTACATGTTTTGATTAGCAGACTAAGCAAACCATGACATAAGAATCCTTATTTACACTGACTACTAGGGATTTTTTCACAAGGTGATTTATTTAAGCAAAGGGGCAGTTTAAGTGTACCTGACCTGCCTTAACTGAGTTCTAGGTCATCTCAAGCTGGACATCTGTGACACACAAAGCACTTGAGTGATTGTCTTATCTAAACTAGACATGCAAAATCTTATGCTAGAATTCATTCTGTGCAAGATTTTCCAGGAAAAATAAAACCTATTTAGTTGCTGTATGTATAGAAGTTGAATCAGAAGCAGAATATAATCTGGAGAGTAGACAAGAGTACCTGCAGACAAAAGAAAAGGTTTTTTGTCCCAAATGCAGGTTTCTATGCCCTCCGTCCCTTCTCCACCTCTCCTCCATCCTTCTCTGCACCAACCTTGTGTCCCTCATGCCCTCCCTTCACCGCGCAGCTACACTTCTTCCATTTCACAAGTGCAGTCCCTTCCTGGCACACTAAAAAAAGGCAAACACACCCATGTATGCCTTCACTCGCCTCTCTGCCTTGTTCCTTCAGCTCCACCTATCGACGTCCTGAAAAGCGGGCGGCCGGGGCAGCAGGTCCCTTCTGTCTGTCCCTGCAGACGCAGGGAGGTGACCGCGCCGCTGGGTCAGCACTTGGAGGGGCACGGCTGACCTCTGTGGGGCCAGGACAGCCGGACAGACAAGCTGTGCTGCCCTGCCACGCTTAGCTGGGTATTAATCCCTTGGGCTCTGACAGAGAACTGCGCTGTAGTTAAGAAAAGCGGGATGCAAGCCAGCCAGAAGGAAGAATTATCCTTAGCATCATTGCCAGACTGCTTGGTTTGAAGGGTGTCCCGAAGCTATAGGAGGCAATCAGTGTAAACTATAGAGAGGTGAAGAAATTAAGATGAAAGAATGTGCAGCCACGTGAATCTGAGCTCTTATTTGGTTCAAACTTACTGCTAGTGTTTGACCCTGATCACAAAGTATTTTTTCACTTTAAGTATCTCTTAGCATCTTTCACAGCTTTTCTGTGCTCATGTCTGAAGGAGTGTGTCAGATCGTCCCCATCTTACCTGGAATGGCACACACCCAAATAATTGATGGCAAATAAGGTCACAAGGGAGAGAAGTTCCTCTCCCAGCAGAATTAGATTGTTCCAGTCCGTGCTGGGGAAGTCACCTCTGGCTCCATGGTCAGGCAGAGGTGGTGATGGCAGTGGGAGACTTCAGAGGGTTGCTCTGGAACATTAAAATGATTCATACTTCTAAATAACTTTTTGATCCCCAGTTGGAAGCAAAATGTGAAGTGTTAAGTATCATTTTGAAGCAAGGACTGGGAAACTTTTCTCCAGCAATATATTTGGTTTAAATTTGGTTTGGTAAGTAGCCCAAACTACTGGATGTGCCTCTAAAAGCATTACTGGAGATGACTGTCAGTGCTGGTTGTATTCAGAAACACACTCACAGCTCTGCAGATCTCCAAGCAGAGTCTGAACCCTCACAGATTACAGACTGGTGCTGGAAGTCACAGAAAAATGGGCATTTACATCATCTTTGGTAGAAATACCTTGACAACAGGCTCTCCATGTCCTGGCACTTGTGGTTCCAGAAACTCGAGATGGAAGTGGAAGGGGAGGGGGGGATTAGAGGTATTTTGTTTCTGCCATCATAATGAAAGGTTTGGTCAGATACATCCGACACAGTCAGAGACTGAGCAACACATCCATCATGGGGTTCTGAAGGGCAACATTATAGCTTTTATCTTCTCTCCTACATATCTGAAGTTTATAAAGTAATTTGGCAAACCTTTCTGGAGATAACCTGTCACCTGGAAGGTTTACAGCCTTGCTTCTGCTCTGCACTACCTAAAGAGGGAAAGGAGGTGTACAAATCCATCCCTGGGAACTCAGCTGGGCTGAGGGGAGGTAGCACAGGGAATGAATTTGGCTTGCAGCTTGCTGTATCAGATAAGAGCTATGAGAACTGATAGGATGTGATCCAGCTCAAGGCTCTGCAACAGCAGAGGCAAAAATTGCACACAGGCATTTTGGGAATGAGAGACAGAGCTGAAAGAGAAAGTCTTGTGGGGGATACCCCAGAGAACTGGATTTGCAGCTCCTCCTGCTGCCACAAAATATTGGTACTGTTCCTATGAGAGCCTGACATCTCCTGGGAGGAGTTATAATCCCTGACACCCCAGTCTCTCCCCAGCAGCAGTGTCAGCAACCAGACTCTGGCCAAAACCAAACAGACAGGTACCAATAGCACACAGCCATCTGACCACTTGCTAGCATGCCCACAGAGTGTGCTGCTCCCAGCCATCTATTTGCTGTATATCAGGACCTGTGGTGCCTGCAGCTTGGAACTGTTGTATCTCTGCTCACCACTTCCCTGCTCTGAATTGCTCAATCGAGCATGTAGCTGCAGGAGCCACACTTTTTGTCA